TTGGACAGTAAATCTCTAAAATGAAAACAAGTCTCTAGTGAATAATGAGACTAATTTTAAGAAACTTTACCTGGAACGACCTCTCATCTATACATTTCTATAAGTTTTCTTGAAAAGTGAAATGAAGGTCTTATATTGATATTTAATGTTTATCATTTTATGACAGATCTATTGTCTCCTACCGTATAATGTAAAACACTAAACGAAGAACAATTTGAATTAGAATTTGAATTGGAAAAGTTAGAATTTTTCAATAAATGAAACCAGTATATATATATATATATATATACTGATATTCCAGTAAAATCAATAGTTCTTTTCTTAGTTAATTTATTCTATATAGAAATATATAGAAATGATTGTTATTGAGAGGAATTGTTTAAATAGAACTGTCGAGAGTTAGATAGAACATTGACGTTCAAACGTTACTCCAGATGTCGATTACTAAAGGCACGACATTAACATTTCCATGCGATCGGCCTTATGGCAATGTACGTCGAATGCACGCGCCGCAGCTAACCTAGATTGTTTTCCTATGCAGCAATCATGCGAGACCTTGATCTTGAAGACACCAGACAGAAAAACCAGAGAGAAAAACCGATAGAAGCGGAGGAAAAATTATAAAAGCGAGGAAGAATGGAAAAAAAAGGAAAGATAAAGATCTTGTTTACGTAAAGTGAACACAAAAATCGCGAGATTATGCTCCTACGAGTCAATCTATGTATATTTCTATGTAAATCTGCAAGACACTTTTTTTTTTTTATCGAGATTGTGAACGATATAAAATCACCGATGCGATCCCATTTTAGACTTGTCGTCTATAATTAGTCTATAATGCAACGATGGATGACATGATATTAAATAAACTTGTACATTGTACTTCAATACATAGGTGTAACTTTGAATGTAACCTCAGTCGATACAGTTATGTATAATATTATGTAATAATCATTCTTTAACAATGTAATAAAATAACGGAGAATTCAGAATGAATCGTTGAGATTTCCTGCGTTTCTAGTATTCTATTAAAAAAAAAAAAAAATACATGTTCCGAGCTTTTTATATATTATTTATATTAATAATAAATAAATATTATTAAATGAATTACGTGGGATGACATTTACCGTACTTGTACTATATTTGATGACACGTTTAAATTTGTATAAAGTTTCGTTGTTGAAGAGACGAGAATGTATAATAACTACCCTCGGCAAACAGGCTGACGAAAGATCGGCCGGTAAAAATTGGCGCAAGTTTATGACTCGAGTTCTTTTGGACGACGAGGATCGCGACTCTATGTACGTTAAAGGCCATGGCGACAGAACGTCGGAACAAGATGAGAAAGGTAGAACTGGTCGAGCGGCCAAGGCACTTGTTTACTCGAACGATCGTGGCCTCCTTTTCGGTCGTACACCTTCGCTAATTCACTTCACTTCCTCTGTCTCCTTCGTTCTTCTCTTCATCCTTTCCCCTTTCGTTCTTTCTTCGCTACTCATCCTCTGTCTCTATTTCTTTCTATCTGTCTCTCCCACGACGTATCTCTACCGGTTTCTTCTGTCTTTCCTTCGACAGATCCTATTCGCACGACGTTTTCGCAAGACATCGTAATCGTCGGGATCAATCATCATTCGATTCTCCGCGAGAATTTACTTTTCCTCCCTCCTCTTACACTATTATCCCTCTCATAATCATTACTAGACCGCGGAGTTTTATACATCTGCAGAAAATTAAAAACTGCAAAACTGCATACAATTTTATTAGCGTGTAATATGAAAAAATATAAAATACGGATATCTAATTATTATCTTTCGAGATACACTACTGACGTGTAACATTAAATATAGGATGTCACAAGATGTAAAACATTTAAAAATTAATCAAAAATTATTTCATTCTGACGAACCTGTTTTTATGATCGCAACAACAATCGTCTGTTAATAACACGCATGTTAATTACGAGCAGTATCCCATAAGTAGGTATCTGCACAATGCTATCACATACACGCATACAAAACGAGTAATCGAAATATTATCTAATTAATAGACTGTAAAGAAAATTTATTCAGAAAATTTCAAAGTGCAAAACTGCACAGATTGTATCCACAATGCGATGTGCTCTCAATAATATTTAGTACGTAAAATAATTTTCTACCGAGGTTTTATTTTTTTAACTATATTCTCGCAAATACGAATTCGCATGAAAACCCGTGATCTACTAATTGAATTAATTTTATAACCGAATTTATATTTTGTTGAATTTGTCAGTTTGCATCATAGAGAGTGAGAAAAATATCTATGAATTAATAATGTTCGATGAAATGACCCGAATCTTACATTTTTACAGTGTGTCATTTAATGGATCGAGAAGTTCGAACTGGCCAGTTGAGAATCTTACAACGAGAACTGGACATTCCTGCTCGCTAACAGGATAAAGGATAAATGTGTCCTTGAGTATGACTGCCATCTTTGGCGGCAACTTTGCGGTACGAGCGGTACCGAAGCGTACCGTAGGGCTGTTTTCACGCTTGAAATGCAATGAAATATTCAACCGTAACATCCTATATTTAATGTTGCACGTACATTAATATTCAACCAAAATGCCAATTCTAATTCTCTCTAATTTCTAACAAGAAAAAATGTATCTATCTACTTAAAATCAAAAATCATTTCAGTTTCAACAATTCTCCATCTATACGACTCCATCTATAATCGCGTCGTTTCAACTCTCGTCGATTTCTAATAAAATAAAATCCACGTTGGTTTAAAATCAGCAGCTACAATTTTACGATATTACTGCAATGCACAAAATCAAATGTGATGCCGTTACTGACAAAAGTTTCGATTGAATTTCATATTAACGAGAGATGGTCAAAGAGAGACCTCACACGTGAACGTAAGCTCGCGAAAGCACGAGTGCGAATATTAAGTTGATAGCAGGATGATGATAACGATGGGCTCGAGCTTAAAGTGCCTTGTAATTTGCCAGCGATTCGATACGGCTTGGCCGTTTATTTCATGAAATTGTAGAGAACCGAAACAATAAGATATTTTGTATCATGTGCGATTAGCAACGAGCATGGATTGCCGGTAATTTCGCGAACGTTTTCGATGACTTCCAAGTGGTCGGTGCTGTGGGATTGAACGGCTAGCCAGAGACATACCGCCGCGTATGAGGAACGTAGCAATCTTCGTGCGAATCAACGAGCTCGCGTTCTCGAGGGACAACACGAATATCAAGGAATAACTATCTCCTCTGGTTGCACGCGAAACCAACTCGGAACAGAGAAAGATGGGAATAATTCTGGTCGAGCAAGCGATAATTATTCGTCGACTACGGCCGTGTGCAGTCGAAGACGCAGCTATATTAAGAAGGAAGCTACATCCTGTTCGTCTCGATCTCATCTCAGTTGCTTCATTAACAAAAGCGCCGATGTTTAATTCCGAGATAAGGATCGTGTCGTTCGAATGAAAATCACGTACGTCTTCTGCCGTACCGACTCGGCAATGATAACGTGAGTAAACTAATTACAGGACGCGCGTGCGACGCCGAGTTCAAAGTCCCGGGTCTCCAATATTGCAGAAAACACGTGTTGTCGTTCTATTCGACTTTTCTTCGACCATTGTCGTAACCGTCGCCGTCGTCACCGCTGCCATTGTCATCGGCGCGAAATGGATGTACCACGCTCGTACGCGCGCGCATGCACGCGACCACAATCGCGAGAGAGTATTGGTCGCTAGACGGCGAACGCGAAACATGATTGTGTGAGCAAGCGGAACGTGTCCTTGACTGCACAAGTCCGCTATGTCCTACACACCCACCTACCGGACACCGTGAGCCGGAGCGGGCCGACGAAGAAGGCATCGCGCACCGCTCCTGCCCGCGGGATCCGTATGCGTTCAGCGAGCTCGATCAAAAACGAGCAATGGAAAAGGAGAAAAGAGAGGGCAGAAAGGGACGGACGAGTCGAGCCGAGTCGAGTTGAGCCTCGCTGTGAGAAGGAACATAACCTAAGGAGAATGGTGGAACGATCTTAACGAAAGACGAGAGAGCCAAGAGAGAAAGAACGACTCTGCTTCTTCGAGCTTCGACCTTCCGATCCCGTTTTCCTTC